AAATGCAAATACGATCAGATAGCTAAGTCCACTTCTTCCTTCCACAGCAGACCAAGATCGCCACTTTTCCCACAACAACCGACAACAAAACAACAATAATATTGCAAACGAACTTTTAGATTATTGAAAATGCTCGAATTAAATTTGGATTCCGAAATAAAAAGAACATGTGGATTTAAGTGACTCAATGTCTGCTGGTTCCCCAACTCTCGGACATTCCAGAATAGGATTTTCATGGCTCCTGGTAGGGCTACATAGTAGCGTCTGCCGATCTTTAGTTTTTAGGTATTATTCCAGCCCAATTGGCCATTGCTGTCCCGATTCTGTCCAATCTGAGCAACAGCTTCCACCATGGGCCCCTTCTTTGCACGAGCCCTTCGTTCCACCGAGTTACTGACTTTGGGCTGCCCGCACCATCCTTCGCGACTTGGATCGGGCCCAGTGGGATTGGGCCCAGAGAAACATCTAAGTTTGCTTTTGCACGTGCTGTAGAAGCCATAAAACTGTAAGTTGTTGCAATCTTAGAGAAATCCTTAATTCCGCCAGGCCCTTCTTTCCCTCCTCATTCCTCTAAATAAGCTAAAAATCTTTTCACTTCCAAACTCCCCACAAAATCTGGGACAAATTCCCCATTCGATCTTCTAGAGAAGGAAAAAGGATTGGAGAGTTATTTTCAACTGCCAAATTACTACCCAATATGGTCTTTTTCTCTAGCCGCTTCCCGGATGCCTCAGCACCGTTTTGCTCTCTAATCACCTCCACTGCTCTACCCTTCTCCCCAACTTCACCAACTGATCCCCCATACTTTGTCCAGGCCCAATCTGCACTCGAATTACGGTTGTGAGAGAGACTATCCCTAGACTCCGCAGTCGTGCCCCTGAAAATAGAGCCAAGGGCCGTACGGTGCCTAATAACATTTTTCCGTTCCATCCCCTCACAAGTGCTTCCGCAATCTTCGACTAGATTCACAATAGTCCCACAGTGATAGCAGAAGTCAGGAAGTCTTTCGTATTTCATCATAATCCAGCATCTGCCCATTGAACCATCAATGTTAATATTTATACCCCTTCTGGTCGTTCTAGTAACATCATATCTTATGTTGACTTGCAAGCTCTCCTCTCAGCATAAGCCATCCTAATCACAATCAACTTCTTCACATTCTCATACTACATTGCCCAATCGAACTGCCATGGATTTATTCATGCAAACCAATGGAAGATCGTAAAAGTGAGTCCAAAACAAAACATAATTGATCTCGAGGTCTAATGGTTTAACCAATTTTAGAGACTTCTAAAGAACGAATAAAGCTCTATTAAAAGACCAAGGTCTCATATTAAAAGGCCATTTCTCAATCACTTTTTGATCCAAAACGAAACAGAAAAACGTTTCTACCAATTCCTTCTATCGTGAATTGATTGTCAACTTTCCATAACGGCTGTAGCACCTTTTTCAGAACTCTGCACGATATAACTCACGTAAGCAGAAGCTTTCCTTCCAGACAAGCCTCTAACCGATGCTCTATCGTTCACTTACCCCAACATCATCATCCACCGATACCTCCTCCTCAATGGATGTGAGGCTGAACATTTTCCATTCCTCCAGGAGGTCTGTTGTTGCCATCCTACCAACGCCCTGAAGTAGAACCCTGAGGGAAAAAAAAAACCACCACCGATCTTGAAAACTACAACCATATTCTGAGAGAACCTCACATTCCTAGGGTAGAGAGAATATTTAATTTGTTATCTATTTGTTACCTCACATATCTAGGGTAGAGTGAATGATCATTGTTTATCTATTTAATCTATTAGTTATTACTGTTAATTTTTTCTCCTTTTATGATAATGTTGAACGGCGGAGAGGGCAAAATGTTAGGAAATTAAGGCACTCCAATAATTCCTCATTTCATAGTTATCCAGATAAATAGCCAATCACCCAACACAAAATATAAGAGATTAAGGAAAGCAATAACGACACAAAAAATTTTATACTGGTTCACCCAACAATGACTATGTCCAATCTTCCACTCAAATGCGGGTTCCACTAATATGAGATTGGTACAAGCGCTCACAAATATTTTCTCCATAGATATTTACCCTCTAGAGGTCTCATTCTAGCTTCTAAGTACTGCCCCCTTAGCCAACTTTGCCTTGCAGCTCAATTATTCTTCATCTGTTTTTCATCCTTCTTCATCCCGACTCGTCCCTGACTCGTTTCGACGTCGATTTGGGTCCACTAATCCCAACACAAAGATGGTTTTGTTGTATGTCTGATGGTGACATCAACTGACGTGGTCTTCTTACTTCTTGGAATGAATCAACAAGTTATTGACATTTAAAGAGCAACAACTTCATGATCAAGAAAGAATTAGGAGTCGAAGTGAATCTAAATGCCACAGAGTGATCTTTCAATGCTACTACGCATCATTCAAAATAGTCCATTTAAACTTTGAGTTAAATAACATGTGGAGGTGGAGATTCGAACCCAAAGTCTTTTGGTCGGAAATATATGCCTTAACCAATTGAGTTATGTTCAGGTTAGCTAGTTATTAATGTTAATGGTCATTTTTTATTTCTATTATTTTATTCATTGAAATAGAGCATTATTATTAATAACATATACCAATAAAATTAACCTATATTTTTTAATAATATTTTTCCTTTAATAAAAATAATTTTGTTAGTTGATGTGAATTTATTATAAAATCAACTAAAATTATTTTTTTAGTTGATGCGATTAAATATTACAAATTTTCAATTTAGTTGATTCATATTTCATTTCACTGAGTTATTATTGATTAATATCATTATTCTTATTGATTACTTTTTTTTAGTGCAACATATGGGAGGGACGGATCAATTATCGTTGAGCTATACTCGCTTTGACTTTTCATTGATTACTCTGATTTCTCATTGTTCCAATTTCTCAATAAATAAACAAAAAAGGTAAACTTATTTGACTTTAATAAACGTAGGGTGAAATGATTGTAGGTTAAACTTAAAAGAAAAAAAAATTGTCTACTAAAATTAACAAAGAAAATCTAAACTCAAACTATAAAAAGCAAACCTATATTCTTCACGCTTATAATTTGCATTAACCTTTCTTCCTTCAGAATTTATTCGAGTTGGAAGATTCTTAGGGATTAAAAAATTTAAAATAATACATTCATATGACAGTAACTTCCCCATCAGATTTTTTAATATTATTATTATTTTTTATATCTACGAGTGTTTGAGTCAGCTTGTGTAGTTTTGGGTTTGTAAGGTGATTGCAAACAAAGTCCCACATTGACTACGGAAGGGAATGATCATGGGTATATAAGAGAGGACAATTATCTCCATTGGTATGAGACCTTTTGGGTGAGGGGTACAAGAAGTTGGGTGCGTTTAGTTGGTGATCCGAAAATAATAAATTAAATGAAAATCGAAATTGTATTTTGTTTCTAGTATTTTTAAATACGTGTTTATAAACTGATGGTAGCGGTCAAACTAAATGTTTAGTTCAATCTAAAATAATATTAATTAATCTGTTAACATTTTTTTATAAATTTTGTATAATTATGATTTACAATATTATACAATTTATAACAAAAATAAAATAAAATGAAATGAGCTCATACCATAGGAAATAATATATTTATCAAAATTTTTATTTTTTTCTTATATAATTATGCATTTTGAAGTTTCAAATTCAAAATCTGAAAACACTCCATATATAAAAATGTTGTTTTTAGAATTTATACTATTTAATTTGGATCACATAATCAAAACAGTGGTAAAAAAAAATCTACCGAACGCATAAAATCCATTTAATTCGGTGTTAATCCATTAAATTTGAAAACAAGAAATAGAATTCGTACGGTGAAACAAAGAGACCCTAAATTTTTAGAGTTTATTTTGATACTGAGGGGTAAAAAGTGTTTAATATCTAGTTTACCTAAACTTTCTATTTCGTAGATTATAGATTTTTAAACTTTAAAAAGTGTTTAGAAGATCTGTGAAAAGTCAATTTTGTGTCTTCTAGATTAAAAAATATCAAATATAAGTTCTTGAATTGTCAATTTTGTGTCTTATAAATCTTTGACTTATTAGACATTCTTTTAAAATTTAATAACATATTAGACCGTCTGAATTAATAGGTCATGCACAAAATTTATATTTGTTATCATCTTCCATTTTAATTATGTATTTAAGTAGCGGGTAAGTTAGGTAGTGCAATATTTTCATAAGTATAGTTAAGTAATAATTAATATGCATTTATTCATTTAAGGTCAGAGGTTCAAACTTCATCTTCCTAATTTTTTGTACTAAAAAATTAATACAATAAAAACAATAAAGACAATATTCTTCTTTATTTTAAATTTTAGAAACTTATTACACTATTTTTAAAAATTTATTACACACAATCTTAAAAAGTTTAAAGTTAAATTATAAAATTACTTCTAACCTTTATCATCTATTTAACAAAAATATCCTTATCCTTTCAAAAGTTTCAATGCCACCTTTGACATTTAATAAATGTTTCAAAAATACTATTTGACATTTTTCGAATACTTTAAATGAAAATTAGTTCACGTGGCAGAATCTTGAAGGAATTGGCAATTAACATGGAAGGTTTGCCTGAATTAGTTTTAAAATGAGAAAATATGAAAGAAGCTGTCGTTTTTTAAAAAGGAGATTATGACAAAATTTGGTAGACAAGGAATAAGCAAAACTCTTTTAAAATGGAAGGAAGAAGACTTTCACAGTAAAATTAGACCTTAATTGTCAAATTGTTTCAAATTCTTCCATGTCAATTTCAATTTAAAATATTAATGGATATTTTGTCAAAAGATATTTGAGGGTAATGTCAAAACTTTTGAAACGAGGAGGAGTATTTCTGAAACAAATGACAACGTTTAGATGTATTATTTTTTAATTGTAATTTAGACAAAGTGGCGTAACATTGAAATTTGCCCCTCTTTTTAAGTAGGGCAGCGCCAAGGAGAACCTCAACTAAAGAATATGGCATCCGATTTCTCCATTTCTAATAGGGGAAGTCTCCGGGAGGCCGCCATGGATTCCGGCGATCAGCTCAGAGTAGCTTTAATTCCAGCCTTGGCTCCAGGCCACATGATCCCTCTCATGGACATTGCCAGAATATTCGCCCGACACGGCGCAGACGTCACCTTCATCACCACCACCGGTAACGCTCCCCGCTTCCGGCGAGACGTCGATGGCGATTCCAGCGCCGGCTACAAAATCAAGCTCCACGCTCTCCAGCTGCCGTCCGATGAAGTCGGCCTCCCTCCTGGCATCGAGAGCTTCAGTGAGACGACGTCGATGGAGATGGCCGGAAAGCTCAGCAGAGCTCTGGGTTTGCTGGAGAACAAGATTGAAGCCTTCCTCCTTGAATCCGGAGTAGATTGCATCGTCAGCGACACCATTCTCGGCTGGACAGTCGACGCTGCTGCCCGTCTCGGGATCCCGAGATTGGACTTCCAATGCGCAGGCATGATTCAAAATGTCGAGTTTAGTATATGATATTTAGAAAAAACGACGACTATCGTAACTTATGTGATGTCAATATATATAGTCGCATTTTAATATACAAGAAAATAGCTTTTTAGGAACGCAAGAAATCTGTCACTAAAAATCAATTTGTGTCGCTAAAGAAATCAGCTACGAGGGCGCGCGCCGCTTCAATTATCGCTAAAAATGCGTTGTTTATAGTTGTTGCGACAAAAGCGCTGCTGCATCGCTAATCAATCTTATCAGCGATAATCGCAGCGCGTCGCTAATGTGTTATTTATTTATTAAAAGCAAAATAAAGATTAGTATTGTCTCATGAGTTAATAGAAATAAGTCATTTTGGTTTTATTAAATTTTCAAAAATTACACTTTAGCCTTAGATCTTGAGAAATAGGTTTAAAATGTTTATGGTATCATCTCCTTTTTAAGTATATACTAATGATAGTTGATTGGATACTATATTTCCTCTACTGTTCAAATCTAGGGTTTGGTCCAAAGACGAAGAATATATTTGTTTTCTGAAATTTATTTCAATTGATAAATAAGTATTTTTGAACGTTTTTATCAGATATAAATCCTATTTATTAGTATTTCTATTATTTTTATATTGATGTTTCAGAGGTTAAATTATTAGTTCCCGTATGTCCTAGGTGCTTAGAAAATAAGTCAGCCGCTAGGGCTCATTTGCTGAAGGCACTGTAAGAACCGATCCAATGCATGGATCCAAGGTCGTCCGAAGGAGCCCAACACGCGTGCAGGGAAATATCCGGATGGGACAACTATCTGCCCCATTGACCACTATAAATACACCACTATTGAGCAAGCCCAGGTATGAAATCTGTTTGGAGTTGATCTGTTAAACTCGGAGTCCTAACTGACTTGGGCGTCAGAATGGCCTACCTGTGTATTGCATCCCGACCTCCCAGGTCATTCTCCGTGCCTTAGGCAAACTTTTGAATCAACACTTGGTTATGTCAAACCACGGAGCTCAAGATCTCCCATATTTATAAATTGTGGGAACAATCTCTGGAAGGGATATTATGTATTTTTGCTACTATCGAGGGCTATCCTTTCTTTAAAGAATCTCCCTAGCCATTTAATAAAAGTGGTCTGATTTGTCTTGACCACCTTAGCTATTCCAAGACCTTCTAGAGATTTTGGTGCAGTACATAGTCCCATCTAAAGAGGTGGGGCCCTCTGATATCACCTGTCCCTTTCCAAAGAAAGTTTCGCATTAGTTTTTCAAGAGCTTTTGCGATTTTGACAGGAAGCTTGAAAACTGATGAAGTAGTATGTATGTAAGTTGTTGAGGACCGATTGAAGGAGACTCATTTTGCCACCTTTTGAAATATATGAAAATTTCCGGCTTTCAAGCTTTTCATGCATTCTCTCAATGATAGGATCCCAAAAGGAGGTGTTTTTTGAATTACCTCCCAAGGGCATGTCTTCAATAGGAATGACCCAAGAGAAAGACGATTCAAGGATGTTGATATTTGAGCTTGAAGCAAGTTCAAAAGACTTCAGCAAAAGGAATAAGTTTCGGAGCTTTGTCTCATTGGCGTAAGAGAAGAGAAATATATCATCACCAAAAAGAACGTGTAATATATGAAAATTCTTTGGGTTAAATGAAACCCTTTAATGATACCTTTTTTATATGCTTCCTCCAATATACGACAAATATAATCCGTAGCTAGCACAAAAAGAGGAGAAAGGGGATCTCCTTGGCGAATGCCTCTTGAGCCGAGATTTTTTCCCTAGACTTGCCATCAAGCAAAATTGTAGAGAATCAAGTTTAACAAATCAAATAATGAAAAATAAAATTTAACAACTAAAATCTAATTGTAAAATTGATTCTCTATATTTTAAAATCAATTTTTGAAACTAGATAAATAAAGAATTGTTAAAATTTTGCTAAGGTATATTTTGAAATTTAATAGTTTTAACTTTTAAATTTAAATAATCTAAAATCTAAACTGTAAAGTTCCTAGGTGAGAGGGGTAAATATGATTATTGGGTATCCAACCTTGTGATTTGAAGGATTTTTTCTATTTCCCTCGAACTTGTTTTTTAGATATATGCCGTCAGATATAACAGATCAGCAGTATTTCCATCCAAACTCATAAAGGAGTATTTAAATCTAATTGTGGCGTCCACCTTATGGGCTTTATACGTCCCTGCATGATAATGTTTGATAAATATACACATATACAACAAAATTAAAGTATCAATAAATAAACATACGGTAGTATAATGTTTGGTAAATTTACACATATACAACAAAACCAAAGTATCAATAAATATATATGCGATACCTAGATTTTTCTCAATCAACTTTGCTGCGAATGACGAATGAGCACATACGACTCTTCGGGTGACCCCATAATTGATTCTAAGGCATTCTCTCTTCCTCTCCAGGGTTTGTAAATAACTAATATTAATTCCACCGAATGTAGTTAGTAATGTCGCAATGACTACAACTACATTTCATGTCCATGATTGACTTTGGACAGTCACCATCCATCATTGACGTTGCCTGCCTATAATCATTCTTTACCATATCAATAGAACAACTATGTTCCTCTACAAATTTTCTAATAACCCATGTTTTACCATTTTGGTAACAAGACAAGCGGAGGTACCAATTGCATGAGTCGTCGAGGTACTTTAATACCAACTGTTAATTGTTGGATTTTACTATTTTTGAACTAAAAACTACCTTTGAAGWCTACGGAGTACACTGCTTTCTTCAATTCTACCCTGCTTAGAAAATCACAATCTTTTTTCAGTACAAAGTTTGATGGAAAGCCATATGAATGTGAATCGGATCCATTACTTCGAGCTCCTTGTGTGAGGTGTGGTCTACACTGATGTTCCACTTTCATTTATGGGGTCAATGGTATCAATATAAGTATCCATAGTTGAATGCACTTGTGTCACACTGATGTCGTACTTTCATCTATGGTATCAATATGAGTATCCACAGTAGACTGTACTTGTATCGCACTTCCATTTCTAGGGTCAATGTTGGTATCTACAAAAGTCTGTACTGCACTCCCATCCCTGCGGCCAATATTGGCATCTATATAACCAGTATCGATAATGATGCAACAATCGCTCCCCAACTCATTCGACAGAACCGTTAAAACCCATGTCACATCTCTATCTTCAGATAGGCTAATAATAAAAGACTTGTTTACACTATTCCTGAGCAACGATAGGCGTGAAGCTTTCTTTTTGTTAGTCAAAGAACAAGAGATAGACTACCTCGAGCAATATTGTCAATATAATCAAATGATAGTTGTAGAGGGGAAAGCTTGGAAGAATAGTAGATTTGAGTGGAGAGCTTAATAGATATTTTATAAAAAAAAAAACTATTATATTAGATAATCCATAAAAGAGCTAAATTTGCCGAGCATAGCTCAGCAGTAATTGGCATATACCTCCAACCATGAGGTTGCAAGTTGGAACAAATCTAATAAATCCCTTAAATGTTGGAAGAAAAAATTGGTGTTAAATCTCTTAAAATGTGTTAAGTGATTACAAATAAGAGAAGAGACAAATAATATAATAAAGGTTACATTTGGAAAATCGTTAGGGGTGTACATTTATCACTAAAAAACCGATCCGACCGATAAAAACTGACTGAACCAATGTCGGTCAGTCGGTCGGTTTACATTATGGTTCAATCGGTGTTGATTTTGCATTTTGCAAACCTGATCGGTCAAAGAAACTAAAATAAGGAAAACCGACCGAATTTTGATAATTAAAAAAAAACTGTAAGACTACTAAGTACTAACCATCCAACCTCTTGGTTAACTGAGGTGGTTTTGAAAAAACCAGAGGGGCTGTGATTTTCTACCCAAAATTCTTTTTTTATATATATAATTATTTTCTAATCCTCTTCTCTCACCTCTCCCCTTTCCCGAGGTGCTTCTCACATTTCCCCATCAAATTTCATCCTCTTCCCCTCACATTTTCTCTCTTTTTGCAATTCTCTTGGTTTTTCATATAGCTACGATCCTTCGTGCTTGTGTTCTTCATGGTTATTTCATTGTTTATGTTCTTCATTTCATTTTGTGCCTTCGAATTTGTGTTCGTGCGCGGCTTCTTTAAATTTTCGTCTTCTTCCGCCTCTTCTACATCATTTCCCTTAAAAAAAAATGTCGGTTTGTCGAAAATCAACCGACTTGAACCAGCTGTTTCATATGTCGGTGAAAAAATACATATTTCGGTCGGTCGGTTTCTGTTTCTTAAAACCGACAGTGTGTCGGTCGACGTCGATTTGGGCCGGAAAACCGATTGATGTACCTCTAAAAATCATATATTTTTAAAACTCCTGAAAATTGGTTTGACCACTTGTACAATATGTGATACTATTGAATATGTATTAAAATGGGTGTCCAAATTTAACGGTATCCTTAATTTGGCTTATGATATGTAATATTAACAATTAAGCTTTTTAATTTTCTCTAGAAATATTTTTATACTTTATAGTTAGTAACAAAAAATAGTGGGTAAAAATTAATTAAAAAAGCCTTTAATATTAATAATTTTATAGAGAAAAATTAACAAAATTTTCAAAAAGTTAAGATGGGATTAAAAAGAAAATATAAATGTAATATATTTTAATAAAATTGTTTTACAAAATTAATTTTTCTTTTTTTAATAAAATGTATTTATACAATGGATTGTCAAATCATGTGCATACACCTGCACACCTTCGGTTTACTATTTGTCACTTCAATATTGTATTAAGAGTGACATTAAGAGTGACGTAGAGTCAACCAAAATTAAAAGATTATTTATAAAAACAAAACCATATTTTGAAGAAAAAAGATTTAGTATTTTTATAGTACTGAAAATTTTTCCGTAGCTCGAACAGTATTTCGACTGTCGAGCAACTTCTAGCCCGACCTGGTCCAATGAGGGAAGAGGACGGGAAATTTGAAATTTTGACCTCTCCCATAATTCACTTTGGATTTATGACTCCATTTTGAAAAAACATAATCTAGAACTCCACTCTTCCTTATTTATTAATAATTTCATAATTTTTAAATGTAAAATTATCGTAGTACCCTCATGTTTCAAAATCAACATCTCCCTTTACAAATCTTTATTCCCTCCAGAAATTTCTTACAATAATTAATTCCAACCCTAAAAAATCTAACTTTTAAAAAAAAAATATCTAACTCAAATAGTAAATTAAAAGTTTAATATGGAAAAAATAAAAAAACGTACATAATTACATAATTTGGGCGAATTTAATTACAAAAAAGTCAAGATTACAAAAAATTTGGGACAATATTGCATTA